GGTTTAGGAGTTTATTATCAAAATCCGTGTGTTGGTGTTGGATGCGGATTCCTTCGGTCGCACTGTCGTCTTTGTTGGATCAATCCAAATGCAACTGGTAGAATGGATCGTCCACAATGTCCGAAATGTGTAACTAAATTTTAACTAACAGTGACGTATTGACTCTCATTTCTAGTTTTAAAGTTCAAATTTACCTTCCGTATGTATCCCATGAACTTGTAAATCTTTTTTTGTGAGTTTCTTACCTATCTCTGTTCCTTTTCGGTAGTATCAAGAATAAATTGCATATAATTCAATGTGCGCGTGTGACAGAGAGACAGTGGAAAAGAGGGAGTAAAGAAAAACTGCCAAAGTCACTTTGGTCGCGTCATTTCGGGTTTTCTTCTGTGGCAGAAAGGTAAAAACTTAAGCTGACATTTTTCATCATGCATGTGTTATTACCAAGAAAACAAAAAACGCTTAGCTGAGAAAAGCATATCCTGTTGCGTTTACGAAATCTTCAGCAGCGTTTATATTATATTAACTGACTCTACAAAGCGAAGTAACCATACTGATTTTAAGTGGTCAACGGTTACTTTGTCTACCCTCATGCTTTTTCCCCTAACACTTTTTTCTCAAATCCATTCAGTTGTCTTTTCAGTAGAAAATTTGGAAGACCAATTGCACCTTAATTTTGAAATTCTGTCTTTCGTTGCACCTAGATTCTGGTTTCGAGCAAAGATAACGAAAATATAAGTCAGTGATGCATCACCTGTGTTCTTTCATACCTTTCTTTTGCAAACTATGTGCATACTTTTATTCGAAGAAATTTTCATCCTACAGCAAAATTTTAAGTTATATGTTTGTCACAAAACGTAACAAAAGCGTGTGATTTTTAAATTCAAAATGATTTTCAAAGTGCTTCTACTTTTTAAAATTCTTTGCGTCAAGATTGTGACAAGATTTTTTTTTGATAAAAATAATAAACAATAAATGAATTCAACTGAGTAGCCTTAATCATATACCTTTATACAACAACGATGCTGATGAATATCATCGGCAGATAATCACGACGAGTGATGTAGAAAATCAACCTGTGCTAACAGCTGCTGGAATAGCAAGGGGGAAAAACCTCACTTTAAGTGCCTTTAAGTGTGTGCACTTCCGGGTTAACTGTCACTTTAAGTGTTTAAGTTCTGGGGTATTATTTCAACCTGCGCTTCTTCCTGGAAAGTCAAGAATTCAGCCCTATATCTTCCAAAATATAAATGTATAGACTGTAGCTGTTCCGCGACAGCGAACATATGGTGAATGTCTGTTAGTGAAAGTTGAAGTGGCAAAACGCGACTTTACCATCACTACTGCTCAAATCTTGTTCAAACAGAAAAATAAACGTGACACTTGAAGTGTCACTTAACGCGACTGTCACTCACTTATAAGTGTGTGCACCCTTTTGGGAGGTCGTTTCCCCCTTGTGAAATAGGCTCAAAAACTGTTCCCAATAAGGCAATGAAAATGTTAAATCATTTGTTAGTCAAGTTGCAGATCAGTTCAATCTGAAACTTCTCGCCGATGCGGCGTTTGCACTTTTACAATATTGAACTTTTTGACAAGTCTTGGTTTCAATGTACCATACAATTTTGCTTATGATCTTGCAAAAGATTCACATGTGAAGGAAAGTCAGAGAGAATATGTTATCATGTCGATCGGCTTGTCAAATGCTTTGGTCGCATTTTAATTGGCTGTTTAAGAGATCGTAAATTGGTCTGAAGGAACAGACTCTCTTAACGATATATTGTGTTTTTTTATTTTCTCAGGTCAATCGTCTTTTATTATATAATTCAACAACAATACAAACAAGTGCATTGGGTATTGTTCTACTCTTTCGGGGAATTGCAGTCGCCATAGGCACTCCGATTGTCGGTACGTACACATTTCTCCTATTGTTTCAATTGGCTTCGTTCGTTATATTTTAGGAGCCATGCGTGATGTATTTGAAAAATATCTTCGACCATTTCTTTGGCCGTTTTTTATCTTTGGTAGTTTCATAGTGTTAAGTGGTATTATCCTATTTGCTATTCCACTATCAAAACGAAGATAACAACATTGTCAAAAGCTAACTAAAGATGAAATGAGCATGGGCGTTGTAGCCTATTTCGGCAAAAATTCTACCTCACATGCACAGTAACAGCTGTAGCTGGCAAGTTTCGTCAAGAAGAAAAACAATACGAATGCAACGCTTCGCTGTCTTTTTCTTATCGATTATTTTACCGCCACTTCTCATATCTTGTTGTATTGTCTTCCGAATATTTGTAAAAGATCTCACATTACTACAGTCGCTTAGTGAACATTTTTTAATATTTTGCAGAGCAGAATGGTTGGTTGTTAGAAATTGAGTAGAGCTTTCAAGTTACACCGACTCATCATCAATGCAGATTTCGACGTTGAGAATACAGAATCTCCATCATGTCACGGTATGCCCAATATACATGGACAGGGAGAAGTATAGCATCACATTATTAGACTTTCCTGATTACAAATCATGATTTGCAAAACTTGAGTATAATGTTTTCAATAATTTCTGTACATTAACTTCCATCATATTTACTGATGTTAAACTTGCATTTACTAATTTTTCAATATTGTCTAAAGTAGAGGGTTCATTATTCATAATGATTAGATATCAAAAATACATTCGACCTACCTGATTTGATCGTTGTTTTCATTTGTACTAAAATGGATACACCTATGGGAATAATATCGCTTACTTCATCGATGATTTTAATGTATATAGTTGATGTCCTTGTATTTTATTTTCATATTTTGCTTGTGGTAATCCACAAGCATGAATAGTCAATAATATGTAAAAACCTCGAGATGCTAGTCTATCTTGTTTCGAGAATATTTTTAGTGTATATTGTTTTAAACTCTCGGAATTATTCATCAGTTGACGATATAAAAATTCTAAGAGAGGAAACATCATTAATGCTTCATTTGTTTAATTTGGATTGGGAATATTGATACTCTCCAATGTTGATTTTAATTTTTGTCTTACAGCTGGTAATATAAATGTGGAATTTTTATAATTCGCATGTATTAACCATAATTGTCCTTGGCTTGTCCGAATCACTACAACATATGAGTGAAATTTAGTAGTACCTTCTGTCGAATCACATATCGTCAGTACCCAAGCATAAAAAAAGCAGGTAGCATCGGGCGATGGCATCGAGTTTTTCTTCACGTTTGCATCGTTCGATGCATCTAGATAAATAAATTTCTTTTACTCCTTCAACTAGCAACGTGAAGAAAAAACTCGATGCCATCGCCCGATGCTGGCTGCTTGTTTTATGCTTGGGAGCTGACGATATGTGATGCGACAGAAGATACTACTAAATTTCACTCATATGTTGCAGTGATTCCAGACAAGATTTGTATTGTTAACATTTCTAGATAAAATACTATCCATCATTTATTTTCTGACAGGATTGTGAGTAGAAGGATCCTCAGTTCTAAGTCAATACTGTGGAAGTGTGATTAAATTTTTTTGTCGAGAAATTCATTTGATTCGGTTTGTTTTCAAGAGAGTTTCAGCGAGAGTTTCTTGGTTTTTGAGCTCAAAAACATCACTAGACGCAGTATTTCACACTGATTATGGATATCGACTTTGAATTGAAATTCAAGAAAAGAAAGTTTTCAATCCGAAAAATTCAGTTTATATTTTTTCATATTCACATTTTCAGTTTCCTGACCTATATGATTCCTGTTAAAAAGCTGAGAGCTATACTATTCGATAGAAAATTCTCTGCAAATTACACAGATGTTTTTGACTGTGAGACATCTCAAACAAGATTATCTAGGCGAACAAGCTTTTGTCCACTTACTGATTTTTTAACAAATTTGTCATTTTTAAATCCTTTTTTTGATTCAAAGCGATTGTTTCTGTTTGACACTATAGAGATCTGTTCAATTTTGATCGGCTCCAAAACTTTCATAATGACAAAAAAATGCTAAAAAACGTACTTGCCTCTGCGGTACGACACAGTAAGGGAATTTGTCTAGTGGGGCTAATTTTTCTTTTTATCAAAAGAATAGTTTAAGATGCCTTCTAAAATCGTATGTAATTGTTTTTTAAAAAAGTTATTCACTCTCAGAAAAATGCAGTACCAGGCACAGGTCTGTGATTGTACGGTGTCGAAAAACGTTATAGCGTTAGGATCTATCTTTTCCTAATAAAAACGAAACGACGAAAGTTCGCATCCTAATTATTTTATCGTAGATACGAAATGTTTCACTACACACAGTAATCGGCTAAGAATAGATAAGAAAATTTATTTGTAATAACTTAAAAATTACAAATAACTAAAATGAAAAAAATCAACATTATGCAATGTTCGACTATGTTCATTCTGCTCGGCGAAGAACTTAATTCTAAATAAACTGGGACAGTTTCGTCATTCTCGTTTACCTTTCTTCGTGTTTGTTTATTGTTTATTGATATGGCAAATGTAACTAAATCGGTTGTTAATGTTTTAGTGTAATTAGTTGTCAAACTTATTTTTTCACTGCCTCTAGTCTCATTAACAAATGTTAAATTTTTTTCAATACCTATGTCACCTAATAATTTTAAAGTATCAATTATGTGTAGACGAACAGTCACTTGTTCGTTTATATAACTTTTTATCGTATAATTCAGTTCAATTGATTCTTTTATTGTCAAAAAAAATGGTTGATTCGTTAGTTCAATTGATATTGTTGTCGGTGATATCAATTGCTTTTCTATCCGCTGTATTTTATTACCATTTTGTAGAGTAATTATGGTAACAATACGAAATTTTTGATTCGGAACTATAATATTCGTTAACGACCCAACCTCATCTTGTTGATGTGGAGTCAGGTTTAATAGTAGGCTACCGGATTGATCAATAATCATTATTTGAATGAATTTAACTGTAGCAAGATTCAAGTTGTCACACGTTGTTAGTATGGTTAAATTAGACTTAATGATCGGTTCAGTGGTCAGCTGCGTAGAACCACTACTATCCACACCTTCCATCGTTGCTCTTTGTAATGTTGATGAACAAGTCAGATTCGTTTTACCTTGAATTTGTATATCATGTGCGAGTTGAGAAAATTTCTCAGTTGTTAAGCGCCATGTGCCTATGGCTGGTTTCACTAGTTTCCACATATGAAGATGTTTGGTTTTTTCCGAATTTTCTTGTAGAGGATATAAACTGTTATTTGGCATTTTCAACTCTACTTTACTGACAGTATTGATTTCACCTGAAATAAAATATGTTATACAATGTGTTTCTCAGTGATGTGCTTTACCTATTGATGTTATATCAATCTGAAGCTCTGTAATCGACGAATCAACATCAAATGAGATGGATGTTCCATTTGATTTTAACAGTAAAATTGGTTGTAACATTGTCCATTCCAAACGTCGGAGAACAAATTGGGATATAGCTGATGTATCGTTCACAGTGATTGGAAACGTCAGTCCTCCACTAATAGTCGCAAGATCTGTATCATCGTCGCTGCCATCGAGTGGATCAATAACATCATCATAAAGTTTTGGTTCTAATAAGGCTCGTGTTTTCGTTTCCCGCCCAATGAATGAATAGACTACAATTTTTTTAGTACGTATCAAAGCTAGAGCCTGATGTTTTAGATAGGCGTCTTTCGCTGGAGAATCTGTAAAAGTGTAGACGACAGATCCGTATTCACAAACTTTCAAACCTTCAACAAGAGCGTGATAATACATTTCTCCTGACGAGTTTTTCGTCTTTTCACATGAATTCAATCGTTGAATAGCGGATGTTAATTCACTAGGTGTTTTGGTATTCACCACGAGTTTTGCTGATTCACTGTTAAATGAAGTTAATATGTAATTATGTGGTGCATATTCAACACTTTTATATTGATCAACAATGCCCACCGATATTTGTTTTGCCAATTCCACATATTCCGCCATACTACACGCAGTATCAATTGATATCATCAAGCTATTCAAATTCTTTTTCAAACTAAGAAATATTCCAAAATCTTCATCCTTGATATCATTCCAAAAATTTTTTAATATTTCGACAGTAGCTTGGTAAGCCATATTGGCTGCTTTATGATGCAAAAAACCATGTACTGAGCTTATCTTGTCTTTATTAATTCCACCTTTTGCATCATCATTTATAGTTGAATCAACGAAACCACCGTGAGAACATTTACCTTTGGGTTTCTTCTTTGATATAAGATTAAGCACAACTGGTACGAAATAGCCACTTGTTAGCAGTTTTTTCTGAATAATATATTCATCAAGATTCGAACGACACTGATCACCGGTACAATCAACACACGTTCGTCTATCTTTCGACGCATATTCATCTTTATTAAAATGTCTTCGACCTAGCACTGGGCTGGGTTTAGTATATTCTAATTCAATATAGTTTGTATGACTATAGAAATCCTAAATAGAATAGATCGCTATATAATTAATCTGACACATTGATTATTGCTCACTTGTAGCATACGTGTAAGGTTCGAAGATTCACTCATACTTCTCAGAAGTCTGAAAAGTCTAACAAAAGTCTAATAGTCTGAAAGTCGAACTCATATATGAAATGAAAAGTTTAAAAGTCTAATAGTCTAGTAGCCTCACTTAGATGTAAAATACTAAGTTTAGAAGTCTAAGTGAATCACACCTCTACACTACTCACTTGTAGCGTATGTAACATTGCACCAAATGTTCGACGTGCTTCGTCATGATCACCACCCTTTTGTATACTATTTATTGCTGCAGTGTATCGTTTTAATATCACATCTGAACCCTCCAGTATAGCTTCGCTATCAAAATGACTTTTCTCACTAAATGGTTCTTTTAAATCCGTTTTTGTATTAGACGATGCGATATATCTTACTATCGCAGCAAATTGAAATGGATTCACACCACTTTGTCCAGATAAAATAGCCACAATTTCATTAATAATTTTACCATTACATTGACCGTTGGTTTCGTTAAATTTTGCTTCTAATGCTTGTGTATTCGTCTTATAAACTTGTTTTAAATAATCAATAGTAACACGACATACAGCACAAACAGTTATTTCATAATGAGTTGTATCTTCTTCTTTTGTGTCACGAAATGGGCGAAGTTCTAATAACCCAGCATCAAATGCACCACTTGTATTTAAATACAGCAAAAATAGGTAGTAATAAATTTTTAGTACCATTTTCGATGAATCATATAAATGTGTTTTCTGACTAATAGTCAATACGTTTATATTCACAATAAATATTCACCTGAAAAATTAGCTTGCTTAAATCATTTTTTAAAAATTTACTAAAAAAACAAAAGAACATATCACAATTAGTTACCTGAAGAAAAGAAGGTTTTGAGTTATCAACACAATTCTAATATGAGAGAGAGAAAGAAAAAAATTGTTGATATCGCCCGCAAAAACTTGAGATGGATATGATGACTTTATGCACGAAATGACGTCAGATCTCTTCGCAGGTTTTTTATCAAAATAAAACGTAACTAAACAGTATGTTCTATCAACAAGTCATTTTTAGTACCATTTTCGATGAATCATATAAATGTGTTTTCTGACTAATAGTCAATACGTTTATATTCACAATAAATATTCACCTGAAAAATTAGCTTGCTTAAATCATTTTTTAAAAATTTACTAAAAAAACAAAAGAACATATCACAATTAGTTACCTGAAGAAAAGAAGGTTTTGAGTTATCAACACAATTCTAATATGAGAGAGAGAAAGAAAAAAATTGTTGATATCGCCCGCAAAAACTTGAGATGGATATGATGACTTTATGCACGAAATGACGTCAGATCTCTTCGCAGGTTTTTTATCAAAATAAAACGTAACTAAACAGTATGTTCTATCAACAAGTCAACCAGCTATCAATAAATTTTTATATAAAGCCACAAGTTATGACGTAAGTGATTAGATAATAGTAAACTATAAAGATACCCACAGACAGCACATAGATATCGACTGACAGCTACACATACAGCATAGAGACACCCACAGAAAACCAAACATAACTACACAGACATTCACTTCTACGGACATAGGAGCGCCACAGAATTGTCGCTCGTAATATTATTCCCATGTAATGTGTTAGTTGAAACGAGTCCAACACTTTAAGGCCGCAGACAGGGAACGATAAAATGTATAATAAAATATTTTATCGGTACTTGACCTTCCTGAGCATAGCATATCAGAGAGAACATCAAGCACAAGAGTCCTCAATAAATATCAGGCTTAGAGCAGCCTAAAGTTTCAAATTACAAGACCCACTGTTTTACTAGAAACCTAATCGGTTCTCCTAAATAACTGAGTCTTTAGGTTAATGCTAACGGAAACCCATATGTAGTAGCATATAGATTTTTCTTGTTAACTCCAAATTCCACTATCTCATTCGAGCAAAACCGAGGAGACCCTAAGGTTTCTCTATGCGTATTAATATGGATACAAAATTTAAACCAAATGAATAGCTAAATCTAAAACTAAGCCATTCATGCGTGCTAAGCATGAGCGAAATGTCCGATAATCTATCTTTCGCAAAGCCGGTAATGTGTGTTTGGTCATCATGTATATCCTTTATTCATACATCTACTCGTTCGGCCTGTGAAACGATCTAACAGTTAGAGACGCCAACCTTCATTTTTGGAAGGTTCAGCATATTCT